AATATCTTTATAATCACACTTCATTGAAAAAATACTGAGCAACTCAAAAGCAAAGCTTGGGATATGCCTTCAATACATACAATTTTAGGCAAAGTTTACCAGTTGGCACAGAAAGGCAAGTCATAAGTTGATTCGACAACTTACCTGAAATTAGTATCTTAAATGCCCTTTAAATGCTTACATACAGACCTTACTAGACCCACAATTTCTTGGCTATGTACGTAATACCCAAGTCTTTTAATTTTTATATCATCTAATAAAACTACTACAGCATTACCTGCTGATAGTTCAGAATATATTCCAAAATATCCCTTCTGTTTTGGCAAATGGGAAAACAAAAATCCCTTCTGTTTTGGCAAATGGGAAAATTTAAGAAAGCCCAGGCATAACAATGTTCTTACAGTGATGAAGTTTTAACAAAACTATATGGTACTGAAATTTTTTTCCTGTTTTTCCCTACATGCACTAATTTATTCACTAATCTCCATCACAAAATCCTGCTAATACCCCCCAGGAGCATCCTCTACTCTTATCAAGAAAAGTGTCAAAGAAATAAAATAGTGAATTATCCTTCCAAGTGAAATGTGAAACATTTATCACTGACTCAATCACCTAACACATCTTCTCACTATATTCAAGTCTAAAGAAAAAAAACGCTGACCTAGGGTATGAAAGTAAAGTTCATCAGTATCAAATCCTGCTTTACACTACCTAATGTGCTGTATAAGCACACCATTAAATATCTACAGGAAACCATACAAGCAACTTCCCGTTTTTCAGATTGACTTAAATATCCAATTATACTTACTATGCTTAGCAAATCAACCGTCTTTCTCACCATACTGAATCAGTAACAATTCAAGAAAGGAGAAAAATGTAACAGCAAATGAATTACTTTCAGTACTTTTATTAAGATATGAAAAAGGAGGTAGCATTGAAAATAATAGAATAGGAAGGGTAAAAAATGTCTAAGACAAATATTCCAACTCATCTAAGTAAGGTGTAAATAACTGAGTCTCCCATCTGTCCCTACTCTCTCAATGTTTTAGTTTAGTATAGGAAAGGGTCTAGGGAAGAGAAGAAAGTGAAAAATGACCTATCATCTGTTTTGTATATGTGCGTTTTTTTAAATAAATGTTAACTACCACCACTTAATGAGCACCACTGGACCAAAGACCATGCTAAGAACTCTAAATACATTTTCTCATTTATCATGAGATAAAACAAAAATACTGAGCAAAAATTATCAATAAAATATGAAAAGTGAGAAAATGAAATTATCTAGGAGACAGCAAATTATAAAAAACACATGAATCAGATCTTCAAGCACTAACAAAGTAAAAATACTACAGGGTAAAGACTAAGATGGTAATCTAGGAAAAGTTCCTTAACTTTACATAAAGTTGTGTATTAAAAGTGATATCCAACAACGTTACACATGTCTTATCATAAAGTAAATTTCTTACAAAAATACATACTGCATCTAAGATATTTCTCCCCTTTTAAAAAGCAGTAGATAAGATACTACACACAATGCAGCACAAACTCCTCCGAGTAACTCTCATTCAAGACTAGAAAGTCAATATTTAGTAATGAACAAACCCTGAGTATCAAACTTTGAATATGAAAAGATTATTATAACATCAAACCAAATTAGAAATATATGTTCAATACACTAAAATAAAACACTAAAATAAAGCACCAGAAGCTGCCCTTTATAACAGCAAATAATGTTAATGAAATACATTAAACACCAACTTAAATACTTACTATTGAGGTATTCCTTCATTTTGAAGCTGGGTATTCAATAAAAAAAGTTTAAACAAAGCAAGTTTGATTAATTTTTAAGTGGGAAAAAAAATCAGCTAGCACTGCCCTCATAGAAAAAAAAAAGCTTAAGACTCTAGGGTCTGAAATTTTAATGGAAAAATCCCAAAACACCTCAGTAAGCAATAATCTTGAAAAGTCAGTCACAAATGTACCTGATGTTATCAAGAGTCAAATCATCTAACTTGTACTTTTAACCAGCTTTCCTAGGATACTCACTAAATTCAGCCCCTCAGCTTATCCTCAGTCTCCATCCACTCTCTCCCCCTCCACCAAATATTTCTCAAACATCTTCTGTATGGAAATTTAGATGTGATACTCTCAAAACTTCAGAGAGATTGAAAACATGCAGCCCAAAGTTACCAAGATCTGTGGTTTTATGAACTGACCAATAAAAGCCAAAGAACTAAAACAAGTCTCACCAACTTCCTCAACCACAAACACACACAAAAAGTTGAGCACTGACTCAATATTTAATCAGTATTTATTCTGATTCCCAAAATGGCTTTTGGGTTTTTAATTCAACAATATGGGGTGCCTACTATGTTAAAGTCACTGTGCTAGGCACTGATAAAAAATTACGAACAAAATTAAGACTATCCCACCCTCGTGTAACTTCCACTCCAGTGAGGAGGAGAATACAAAAACAAGGTACACACTGATATAACCCAATACTGATTGCATTCCAAATTCTGAATTTGGTCTCATGGCCCACTTTACTGCCCATTATCATCCTAAAAGCATTTATGTTAATCCACTTAGTTTCTTCAAACTACACTCAAAATTATGCTAATTAAAATGAAAACTGATTTTGTGAACAAATAATTTTGAAACCTTAACTTTGAATCTGTTAACACATCCTTCTCAACAGAATTTGAAAATTAGCTGCTAGGTGTTCACAGCAGCACCATTCAGAGAGCCAAAAGGTAGAAACAGCCCAAATGTCCATCAATGGAGGAAAGGATAATCAAATTGGGGTACCTATACAACAGAATATTATTCAGCCATAGAAAGGAATAAAGTACTGATATGTTCTACAACATGGGATGAACCACAAAAACACTATGCTAAGTGAAATAAGCCAGACACAAAAGGTCATATATGTAGGATTCCATTCATATGGAGTATCCAGAATAGGTAAATCCAGAGACAGATCCCAGGATAGGGATGTGCTGCCAGGAACTGGGAGGGATCAAGGGAAAATGAGGAGCAACTGCTTGATGGGTTCAGGGTTTCCTTTAGGGGTGATGAAAATGTTTTGGAGCTAGACAGAAGTGGCAGTTGCACAATGTGCGAATGCACTAAATGCAACTGACTCATGCATTTTAAAATGGTTTACATGTCCTGTGTATTTCACCTTAATTTAAGAACAAAAACAAACAGCTACTAGAGTATTTTAAAGTGCACCTTTTGTCACAAATAAAACTGCTCAAGTTTAACTTTGGGAATTTCAGTTATATATGTTTCAAACCTTAATTCCCTTTAGCCCCATTTTAGTATCAAAATGGCTTTTGGGTTTTTATGGCAAACATCATTTCTTAAAAACCTGTTTTCATTGCATGCAGATGTCATATAATATTTTGGAAATACATATAATTCCTATTTACATGATGATACTCCTTTATTATGCATATTTATTAACAATTTTATTGATCATATATTTGGTATATAATATACTCTCATCAAGCGTGTGCCCAATAAAAGTTTGCTGACATCAACTATCTTCTTTATAATGAAAATACTCATTCAAATGAGTTTTTATTTTGTTCAATCTCAATAATCTAAGTGCAATTCAATGCCACCCTCTGCACCAATGCCACTTTTCCCACCTCTGTTATAAGATGCAGCACCATTCTGTCGGCCTAGCACCTTGGTTATTCAGTCAGCCTAGTTACTTGGGTTCTGTGCTCTCTACCTCCCATTTCCACAGTTCTTGACAGGCTTCAGTCCTCTCTGCATCCACTGTAACACTACAAAGCACCTAACAGTACCTTCAACATAGTACGTGCTCAAATAATGCCAGTGGAATTGAAATAAATGCAGCCAACAAATAACTATTGTAAATTATTTATTATGTAGGAAAAGACATACAATATATATATTAATACTAAATGGACTGATAAGACAAATACTTCCCGGAGAATCCTTATTCACGTTGTCAATGTAGCTCTACAGAACAGTCTGTTGAACATCAATATGAACATGAAGTAATTCACCTAATACCCAGAAAGAATAAATAGGGATTCGCCTTATCCATCTCCCTTTTGAAGTTCGCCTGCATATGTAATAGGGAAACTGAACTTAATGAAACAGTATTTCCAAACCAGGTCACAGGAGAGCTCGCAGTCCCCAGCCATCCTGTTTCTATTTCTCGATTGGTCTGACCTCCAAGCGTTATGGTGCCCAACCTTCCCAATTCACGATCTCCTTTAAAACATCTTCCAAGGTGAGCTCTTTTCCTTAAAATAAAAAATTGACTTCCTGAGCTTTCTAGATTTGTAAACAGGCACCCTACTTTTTAAAAATCTTCCGAAACGTTTTGTTCAAGAAAAGAAACCCAGTTTTCGGAGAAGTCCCGTTATAGTTACACTTGGAAATGTGGGCCATAAACTTGCATAAGTGGAAGTTAACACTACAGCATTACTCTCCTTAGCAAAGTAGATTTAAACAGACATGTGCACGAATTTTGAAGAGCTCCTACACTTCAAGAATGCGCATCTTTCAAATAAAGATTTAAAAAACAATCTGGAATAGACGAAAAACCAAGCGCGCTGAACACTTCACAGGGACATTTTCTCCGCACTATGCTGGCAAAGCGGCGGCAAACAGACGCCACTTGGGCAGCGGCCCCGACCCTCGGTCTCCAAACCCCGGGCGTACACTGGCCACAGGCGTCCCGGAGTCGAATTCCCCACGAGTTCGTTTCCAGCCAGCCCCGCGGCCACTTCCACGTCGCTGCGACCCACACGCCTCCTCAGCGATTTAAATCTGCTCTTACCGGGCACGCGCGCGCGCGCGCGCACACACACACACCACACACACACACCACACACACACACACACACACACACACACAAACACACACACACACGGTGTTACCAGACTGTGCACAACCAAGGGACCAGAGAGGAAAGGAGGGGACACTCCTGGCACTCGATCGGCTCGGCACCCACCTGCAGGCCGTGAGCCCGAGGACGGCGGCGCCGGAGCCCCGTCCTCCCCAAAGACGAGTTTGAAGTCGAGCTCGTCGTGGGCGCCACAGTTTGCAGTAGTCATCGGCTTGGCCCAGGGTGCTGCGGCTCCTCCTCAGGCAGCGGCGGCGCCAGAAACGGCGGCGGCGGCGACTCCTCAGAGCCGCTTCATGCCGGGCCGCGCATACCAGGAGATCGCGGCCCCGCGGCAAACTTTCCGGGCGGAGACCGCGACGCCGAGGGTTCCGTTCCGAACTTAAAGCTGGCTGCGCGCCGAACCTCACCAGAAGCCGCCACCACTGCCAGTCGCTGCTGCCTAAGCCGCCACGGCCGCCTTAGCTGATATTCCCCGCCCCTCAACAGCCGCCGCCGCTGGCGCGCTCCCGCGCTCTACGGAGCAGCCGGCCCTGCCCCCTACGCGCGCCCACTGGGCCGTGCCACCCATAGGCCGCTGGTGCTCCGGGCCAGCCCAATGGCCCCGCCCCCTACCCTACCGCGTGACTCCCTCAGGGAGAAGGAAGTCACGTAATATGGAGAAGTAGGTAGCCGCGCCACATCTTGGAAGTTGTAGTTCGGCTTCTATTCCCGCCTCCTGTTCTTTAAACCAAGGCCCCACGGCCCGGGGAAGGACCGGGAGGGACTCAGCCCAAATTGGATTGAAGATCCCTTTCCTTATTGGAAGGAGCGCACGTCGAGGAAGGGGCGCAGGAGCCCTGAGGTTACGGGTTCGGCGACTGGCGGCTGAAGTGTCACTCCTGTTGGCTGGATTTGGGGAAGGTATTAGGACCCGGAAGGTTATGTTGGACGCCATTCACACCCTTTCCCCACCACCGTACCCTCCTGGCGGAGTCTTAAAAGTGCAGAGATCAGACCGAGTCTAGCCAGGTTGGGGCGGAGCCGGAGGAGATCTGCACCGCGCGCCGAGTCCAGACCTTGAGCTCCGCGTCTCTGCAGACCCACCCATTCTAGGCGGGGCCTGCGCCTCTGTGGCTGCGCCTTTGTCTGTCCCCTAGAGCCGCCCGGCAGCTGCTCCCTCGAGGACAGCCGGCGCCTTCGACGCCTCGGGAAAGCCCAGTGGACAGTATCTGTCCCCAGCTGGAAGTCGGGCAGACAGAACGGAAAAGCCGGTCGTGAACTTGCGCCAGTCACGGGCCCCGATGCACAGCCGTGAAAGCGGGAGGGATCATGCTATGCAAACTGAGTGGCAGTGAGGAGGAAGTGACACTTGTCTGAAGAAACGTTTCTGCCCTCTGCCCCAACCCAGTGGACTTGTCTTCCCCTGAGACGACCCAAGACGCCTCCTTCTGGGGCCAGGGGTGGAGGCTGTGCCCGGGGATGCTGAACCTGACTTGTTTACTTAGGTCTCCTCCAAGGTGCAGGGTAGACCGAGAGCTGAGAGAGGTCGTGGTTACCGATTTCCCTAGCTCCCACAGGACATAGCATCCCTAGAAGCATGTTGCCGGAGGAACCCATAGCCCTGTCTCAGAGGCTTGGGTACAGGTGCAAGGGCCCAGGCACATCCCACAGGGCCTACAAAAAGCCTCTGGGAGAAGTGGGTAAGGTGCAAGGCATTGTAGAGAGGGGTTAATATATGGACTGATACCTGAACTACCAGGGAGCCTTCGGGAGAGACCAACTAGGCCCTGGGTCAGGACAGTAAATGTCCAGAGCAGGTGAAATGTTAATCTTGGATTGGTTCACCCCTGAGGTCAGAGAACTTCCTGCCCTGTGTTCTCTGTACTCACACCTGTGCTGGACACGAGGACACAGAGATAAATTAGTCTCCCTTCAGAGGTTGTGGAGAGGAGGCAAGCAAATCTATGATCACTGTGCAAAGAGATTAGGCTGTGTCAGGGAGCCCAGAGAAGCTTCTTAATCCCTGGTTTCAAAGCCTCCACAGGGCTAAATAGGAATTGGAGAGACAGGCAAGAGGTAAAGAAGATGGTTCCACGCAGAGAACAGATTTCCAAAGACCTAGACACCAGAAAGTACCTGCAGTGAGCAGAAGCCAAAGGTAAGGCCAGAGGCATGGGCAGAGTGCTGCAGGCCACTGACAGCTATCTGGACTCTATCCTGAGGACAATAGGGAGCTGCCATTTCAGAATTCTGGATGAATCACTGGATTGGACTAGGGAAAGGTGAGGTTAGAGGCAGGAGAAGATAACATCAGTCAAAGAGAGAGCGCAAATGGTATTAAGTGGGTGAAACATCCTCCCTACAAAACTGTCCTGCCTTCTAAGATCTTCAACCTTGAGGACCTGAGCATGGAATTTAGAGCCCAAACACCAGGGGCAGATGGCCAGCCAGCCAGTTACTGCCATGTGCAACATGAGCCTGGTATAGCAAAAACCCCAGGAGCTTGGCCAGCCCACCTCCTCTCCCCATAAAACTTAATCCAATTTCAGGTGTGCCTCCTATCCCCACACATATATCCTTCCCAGGTTATTATCTGGATAAAGAAAATGGACCTTTATCTAGTGCCTCTGCCCTCCAAATATGACTTTACCTGAACCAGGGCTCAGCCAGCCAGGTCAAGGGGAAAGCAACAGGAAGAGCCTGGGCCTATCAGTCTCACTGCTAGGAAAGGACCATAGAAGCTGCAGATGGCTTGAAAAATTCACTCATTACTCAAATGCTCAGCAATGCATCTGTTCCCAGGCACTCTACACCTGGAGAACACTTAGAAAGGGGTGGTGTTTGGGGAAAGGTTTCTGTTCTGGAAGAAACTGAAAACCCTAACCTGAAGTGATAAAGGCTAGAGCAGGGGCGAACACCAACAGCAAGAAGGTTGTCACCACCTTTGTAAGAAAGGCAGCAATGCCTAGGAACTCTGAGGCTATGACGGGACCTGCCCTCATCGAACAACACACAAACTCTCTCTACCCCTTTTCCTCAGCCAGGGCAGGACCACCCCACTGAGCTCTCCTCAGGCCACCTCCAGTGCTTTCTTAGATGGCAGGAGGCCATCTGACCTGTCTCCAGAGTTCTGAGAGCCCTGTGCAACCAGTAAGCCCAGGAGACCAGTGCAGTAGATAGAACCCCACGCCGGGCAAGGCTGGTAGACAAGGACTGTGTGGGTCCCTGTATATCCTCTCTCCCTCCTGTGTGAATAGCAACCAGGCCTGAGATTTAGGGAAAGCCATCTCTTTCATCAGCTACCACAGACCTGCCCCTGAGCCCCCATTATTGAAGGCTCTCCTGTGTCCTGTGGCCTCAGAGCCATAGGATGATACAGTCCCCCATGTTCCACGTTAGGAACTAGCCCGGTCCCCTCTGTTCCACATTAGGGAAAACAGGAGCCTTGGAGGAAAGTCAGAGTTTAGAAAAGTTCTTCCCCTCCATGCCACACATCCCCTCCCCAACAAGCTCCTGCTTGACTCTTCTATGCCTGCTCCCACTCCCACACCAAGCCTGGCTATAGGGGACACAAGGACTGCCCTTGAGCAGCTCCCAATCGGCACAGACAATAAGGCCAGCCAACTACAACCAAAGAAGGTTAATTGCTGGAGTCAGCACAGGGCACTAAGAAGACAGGGTCAGCACTTTGCCAGTCCTCAAATGCCAGGCTGAAGAGTTTGGACTTGATCCAGAGGGCAGTGGAAAGCCATGGAAGAGTTCTGAGCAGGAGTGATAGAAACTAAGGAACTAAGTGCAGGACTGCAGGGGTGAGATTACCCACTCATCTTTGCACAAAGTTTAGTCTTGCTGTGGCCTTCAGAAGACCTGCCACCCTCTTCAGCCTTACTCATCCCTCCCTATCATGGTCATAACAAAACCATTTCTCCCAAATGTAATGAGTTAGAGGAAGTCCTCAATCAAGGTGGCTGGAACAGATGAATAGGTGTTGTGGCCAGTAGCCCAGAGCTGGGTTGAGAAGTCTAAGTAGACTTAATTTAAGGTTGGCATCATGGTGAGAACACTGGGACCTTCCCATCTGGTCCTAGGTCTTAAGCAGGTCACTCTGAGACAAGGGCAGGTGTCATGGAGGTGTGCAGAGGCCATTTGAAAGGACAGCACATTCAACCAGGATCTTTGCCAGACATCCTCAGCCATAGAATACACACTAGCCCCTCCCCTCCTGCTCCCCTGTGAAGGACCCTCTTCCTAGTGTGTCTCCTGGGCTCTCAAAGTCCCCATACCTCTATCTTAGCAGCTGACCTCTACCCCTGCCTCTACCTCCCCATAGCCCAGAAATGAACCTCACCCACCCAGGGAAGGGGCTTCCCCAGGGAATCCACCCTGGTGGGAGCAGAGGCCCGAGGACAGAGCCCAAGCCCGCCAGGGAAGTGGACCTTCAGACTCAGTACCTGCCCCTGCTGGGTCTTGCACTAAGCTCTTGGGTGGCTCAGGATGCCTGGGGGTCCACTGGAGCCTCTCTACCCTGTTCCAGTCTGGAGAATGAAGGCAAAGGGAGCATTTTGACCGGGATGGGTTTTTGCAAGAAAAATCAGAAATAAACTGTTTTGCCTAAAAGCTTGATGGCTGAAACTGGACCAAGCCTCAGTCTCTCTCCTGTGTGGGACCCCTTCTCTGGGAGTACTGATCTGGAAAGTTAGAGCAGCTTCAGCATTAAGGGACACCACTGAGGTGACCCATCACAGGGCCACCTGTTTACTCTCCAGCAGGCCTCACGCAGGGAAAAAAGCAGTTGATCGCCCTCTCAGAGGGCCCTTAGGCCCAGGGAGGACCAGAGGTGACTTGCTCAAGATCACAGCGATGGGCTCTGGGAAGCCACCGGTAATGCAGTAGGAGTCTTATCTGCAAAGGCAAGAGCAAATGTGGGTGCAGGGAGGGGCTGCTCCAGAACGGAGACAGACACCTCATCTGTCCGATCCTTGGCTTGGGCCACCAGAGCCAGGGGCTGCTGGCTGGCATAGGGGCCTGACCCTGAGAAGATGGGAGGCACATGGCTTTGACCTGGAGGGGAATCCCCGTTCTGGTAGAGCTTGGAACAGGGGAGGAGAAGCAGTGTGTTTACTGCGGAGGAAGCGGAGGCGGTGCAGGGCAAGGACCTTTGGTCAGAATGCCCCTCCCAGTAAGAGGGGGAGGCCCCGGGAGGTGTGGTAGCCGTTGGTATGCTTCTCACTACCAGGAGGAAATCAGAATCTGCCACTTCCGGCCCAAGCAGAATGGTGGGGGTGGATGGGGGATGTGGGCAGTGGCGTGGGCAGGCAACTGCAAGGGCCCCAAATTGCTGCCATCAGCAGCCTGTGTCACCAGTGACCCCTGCCCAGAGCAGTTTACCTCATCAGGTCTGAGCTCTCGCTACCCAGGAATCAGATCCAGGACCCCCCAACTCACCAGAGCTATCCCTTACTGGGACACCAGATTTGCTAATTATCCTCCCAGATTCCATGCCACCTCTCATCAGGAAAGTCAACCGATGACCACTGCCTCAGGATTACCATCAATAGAATGGGCTTTTTGGGCCTTGCTGGTTCAGCCAAAGTCCAGCAAGCATTAAAGGTGATACTCTGTCCCCCATCTCCACCCAGACACATAAGGATGGGTAGCGCATATGCTTTAAGAAGTTCCAGCTCTGCACAGAGGGTGGGAAGAGAAGTATTATGCCAAGACATGAGTCTGTGGGTGAAGGTGCCAAGGCTGCAGCAGCCAGCTGTGGGTAACGATGAGGGGTGTCTTTATTGCACTGTACCAATGTCAGATTGGGAGGTGCCACCTGAAAAGCTCCTGCTTCCAAAGAAAATACTAAGGTCACTGCGAACTTGGCCCTGCTACTCAGACCCACCATTGGAGATGGATGTGCTAAACACCCTTTGACCCATGCTCCAGGCCATGACCTCTTAACTCCTGCCAGGAGGCGTCAAACCGTCCGACGGCATCTGGTCCATGCTCTGCACCCACAGCCATCCTAGGGCCAGGCCCCTGAAGGAGGTGACCAGGGTAGGCACAAGAGTCACCAGCCTTCCAGAGGGCTCTTTTCACCACTTCCCAAGGCCACAAAGGGCTTCTTGCACAGCTCCCCAGGCACTGCTGCCTCCTGAGTTCTGGACTCCCCAGGGTCTTGGCCAGGGGCCTCCCGCTTGCGCTTGTGCAAGGAGGGGCTCTCCTCACCCAGCCGACCCTCAGGGAGGCCCTGGCTCCGTAGACAGACGATGGCCGCAGCCTGCTCCGCCAGCTTCTTGGACTTGGCCCTGCGCAGACGAGGCATAGGGTGATAAGGCAGGTAGGCAGGCAGGCCGGTTGCAAGACTAGAGTCTTGGAGGCCTGATGCTACATAGCCCAGGCAGAGAATCTGACAGAACTGAGGAAGAGGTCATCCCCCTGGGCTGCCACCGCCCACATACACCATCTCGCTAGCCCTCCGAGGCCAACAATGGCTTCAAGTCTCTCATCCCAAGCCTCATGCCACTGACGAGGAAACTCACCACAAGGTGGACTGGTACTTTTGGTCAGCAACAGTGACAACAGAACAGAAGAGACGATCCAGGGGGCGCTGAACCTGGTGCAGAGAACAGGAAATGAGGATGGCTGCATTAGGGCAAGAGGACCAAGCCCTGGAGGATCCTCTGCCAGTGTCATCATGTGTAAGGCAGATAAAGGGAAGTACTTCCCACCTAAGTCAAATGAAGACTACCTATATTACATGATCCTCCCCAGTGGAAGTACCTGGTGTATCTTCCAGAGAAGAAAGGTAGATTTACAAACAGACAATGACATTCCAGCATGTCAGGAGTTCTGTCATGGACCTAAGCAAAGGGCCATCAGAACCCTCAGCTGCATGTGACTGTGGAGCTTCCTCTGAGTGACATCTGAATGGGCCAGGTTTCCCCAAATGAGGAGTTCATCAGATGGCAAAGGAGTAAGAGGGGTTAAGGGTGGGGCAAAGAAGGTACATGTGGCAGAGGAACCAGGGGATGTGCCTGGGTGGAGAGCTGAGTGGATGAGACCTGAAGAAGAAAGGCATATGTTAGGGTCTTGTGCTCTGTGCTGAGGCACTAGGGCTTGATCCCAAAGGCACTCAGGAGCTGATGAGGGAGTAGAGGTCAGATTCGTTTTGGAAAAATCACTCTGGCAGAAAGTGACACAAGGCCCAGAGGTACAAGTTTGGAAGTCAGAAGGCCAATCCAGAAGAGAGCAGTCTAAACAGTACCCAGCTGTGGAGACCCAGAAAGGCGAAGCAAGACTGTCTCAAACTTTCCACCAAAGGGTACCAGGTCTGGGGTCCAATTCAATGGCCCTTTGGCTGAGGCCTGGTCCTAAAACCTGTCTAACTTTGAGGTGTAAGCATCCTTCCTAAGCCAGTTAGCCCTTCCCAGAGAACTCTCTCCTGCCTAACAAACACCACTGACAGGCTGGCACAAGTGGGCCCTCACTTAAGTCTCAAGTTCACTTTTATAAAGTGGCCAGAATTAGACAACAGTACCACTGTCAAAGGGAAGAGGCAACTGGCCTGGCCACCAGCAACAACTGCAAGCCCACAGAAGCAAAGCCGGGCTCCAAGCCAAGCATCCTGGAGTTCATGGTATGAGCTTGGGGTGTGCTGGGGTGACAGCACCAGCGTGGGAACACTGTAGGGCTAGATGCAGGGCAGGCCACAGCCAGGAACTCACCGTTTCATACACAGGCTGTGCCAACTTCTCCCTCCGGCACCACTCCAGCAGGCACACCTTGGGGGTGATCTGGGGGGAATATGCTCTCCTGGGGAAAGGAAGGGAAGGTGTCAGGGCTCCCCCACCCCCAGCATCACCACTTCAACCCCCTGATAGGGACTGCAGAAACTGAGGCATCAGACTACTTGCCTCAAAACTCCTGTACTTATTCCTCTGAGCTCCCATTTCTGTCCCACCAGGGGCTTGGGGCCTGGGTTCTACCCAAAGGGAAGACAGGCTTCAGCATACTTGGGGAATTAGGCTGGGAAATGAACTCCCAGCACTCTGAGCGCCAGCCTGTAAAACACCTTCAAGAACTAAGAAGAAAGGTCCAGTTTGCCTCTCAAGACAAGATTTAGGGGGAGTGGACAGGGTGCAGAATACAGGCAACCATATAAGGTCTCAGTGCCCACCCTGATTATGTCTATTATTAAGTGTCAGGATGATCTGCTGCTGCCCTGGACACAGTGGACTCTGGTTTCTGAGTTAATCTGTGACAGGGTGACAGGGTGGGAGGTGCCGTGTTCCAACTTCCCACCAGAAGCTCTCATGAGATATGACTGCCCAACAGCTGTACCCATAACCCTCCTCCCAAGCGCTTGCCAGACAAGACTGACTCCTGGTCTGGGCCTGGGGACCTGAGAGAGGCTCAGATCCCAGACAGCAGAGGACAGTCATGAGGGCCTTGTTTGAAGCTGAGTCACAGTCTGAGGCAATAATCAGCCAGAGGTTGCTTCTGCCTAGAGGGGGCATCACAGGGCTGGAGAGAGGTAGTGGGTGTGGGCCAGGGTTGCACAGCCAGATGAGGGCTAGGGTCCCACTGCTACTGGGGAGCTCCTGGTAGGCAGCTAATTCCTCAGGGCCAGGGTAAAAACACAGACTCACAGGAACAGAGGGAGACACACCCCCCCATCCTGAGTTGTGGTAGGGATGGGTCAGGGAAAGGTGGGGTTCAATCACCTTGGGACAACAATAACACCCTGACAGTGCTACTTGGGCTTTTAGGGACTGTCTTCCCCAAAGTGACTTCTCTGAGATGCTGACAATTTAGAACAAGTGTCCAAACCAAGGAAATTTGTGGTCTCTAACCTTGGCATTAACCATGTACAGAAAAGCCAGCTTACTGGCCTAGTCAGACCCAAAAGGAACTGGCCCTTCTCCAAGCTGAGGCCAAGCTGGAGACCTACCGGTCAAACTTGACAGCCATCTGAATGACACCATAGGTGTCTTCAGCTGGTTCCCCTGGCTCCTCTGGGGTCTTGGCCAACAGCTCAGCCTGCCGGGCATCCAGCTCTCGTGTGGTGTCCTCATAGAAGGTACCAAGGCCAAAAGCCTCACTATGGAGGGACAAGCAGAGCAGGGCAGGCCCCTTAGTGGAGCCAGCATGCAGGGAACTGCTGCAAGAAACCAGAGCCCCACCACTGAAAAATGCTTCCCACCAACATACACCAAAACACCGTTGGGACCTGGCCATCAGAAGTTGCTTCCCACCCACCCCTGCTATCAGCCTGGACTGGGAGATGGAGAATGAACGTGAGCCTCTGAGGTTGGACACTGCAGGGCAGGACTGGGCTGGGTGGAAAAGGTTCTAACGGTTCCTACCACCTGAGCCTACAGGCAGGTGTCCCCAGCTAGCAGTCAGTAAGTTGACCTACATTAATCTAGCGCCTGGGGTATACGCATAGCTTCATCCTCATGTGGGCCCATGCAAGGAAGAGACAAGGCCTGACCACTGAATGGTTCCCCACTTCCTCTCCCAGCCACAAGCAGTTAGGCCTCGCCTTAACTGAGGTATCACCCAGGGCTACGGAGTTATACTCTTTCTCTTCAGCTTACAAGACACCTGCGTCAACCTGGTTAGGCTCTGTACGACAGGGACAGAACTGACACCACAAGCCCAGGGTGGGGAGAAGGGTTCTGACAAGGCTTTTCCCTTCTAGGGAGCATCTTGACGGCTAAAGGGCCTTCACAAAAATGGACGCCTGGGGCGGTCAGTGGTTCAGAAAGGCTGAGGAAGGAGGACCTAGACAGGCAACATGAGGGGTCAAGGGCATTCAGGCAGAAGACCCAGCACAAGCACAGGTAGGTGGTGAGCTATAGGCGCAGGCACTGGGCCGAAAATCAATGCCAGAGTTGGAGCTATACCAGATCTAGAGGACCAAAGGGTGGCCTCCCAGACTGTAGAGTGATGGGGTCTGGGCGCAGGCTCAGGCCAGGAGCTCCATTCTACAACTACAACTCTCCTGACCATTGGGTCTTAGCGTCCAACATGTGACACATCTGTCACCAAGAAAGCCCCTTCCTCCCCAAGAATTCCCAAGCCCAGCCCTCACATTCCTCCGTCCTACTAGTGCCCTGTTCCCAAAACTCTGTTGCTTAAGAAATCAGTCCAGGGATGGGAAGTTCCAAAGCTTTGTAAGTATCCCCTTCTGAGAAGTGGAGCGGTACCACCATCCCACTCCTGCACACCCGCCTCCAGAAGCTGTGTCCCTGGTCCCCTGGTAGATTCAGCTTAGGGCTCAGGGTCAGGCCTGGCCAGCGTCCACAAGGACAGATGGACAGCTATTGCTGCTCTCACCAAATTTCCCGGGAAGACTGGGCAGCATGGAGCAACCTTCCCTGGGACGACTCCAGCTGTTCTCGGAGCATCTGGCACAAGCAGTACTTGGTGTTGGTGTAGTGGTTGTCGTACTTCACAGCCTGAGGAAGAACCCGCATGAGCCCATCTGCTGCCTGAGCTGTACTCTGGTGGCAGAGAAAGGGGCTCCAAGGGGGCAGCAGAGGTGTGCTTGCAGGTGAGGCACCGTGACCCCATAAGAAGACCCCCTCCATCCTGGCCATTGGCTTCCCAGGTTAGTGGTACAAAGCTTGAGGGTCATGGCCAAGGCTGCCAGTCAGGAGCATACTCTACAGGCCAGCCTGACTGAGGTCCAGAGGTGTAGGCAGCTCCTCCTGCTTCAGCCACCGCAGGCTGCCACCACAGAGGACCTGCCACCAAGCATCTTCCAGGGTGGGTAGAGGGAACAAGCCACAATTCTGGTATGGCAGGACTAGCCCCAGGACAGGTGTGAGACTTTTCTACTCCAATAACAACAGTGGGTACCTTCTCTTCCCGCATCTTAAATGGCCTGCCTCCGATTTCCCCCAACGTGGATAAAGCACAGCTCCATCTACCAAGCTTGTTCACACACGTTACCTGTCACTACACTCAGCTTTATAAGCATGAGATGCAGCTGTTACCACCACTCCACAGGCTGAAATACAGGCTCAGGGAGGCAGGTGACTGCCCAGGGTGGTGTCCAGTAGAAGCCTGTCTGGCAGGGGCAAGCAGGAGAGCAGTGGGTAAAGGGTGGCCCAGCTCTCCAGAAAACCCTCCCATCACTTGCCCGCTACACTCTGCTAATATCTCCACTTAGGCCTCGTCTTCAGTGCTTGGAAAGGTGCCAGGGCACACTCAGGACCAAGCAGGGATATGTGGGCAAGCCCCAGCCAGCGACAAGGCCCTGATCCAGCTTGTTTGGGACAGAAGGCACCGGCTGGACCAGAAGCAGCCCTGCCTAAGCTTGAAAGCCACTCCCTTTCTCTGGGACAACACACCCTCTTGAGGAGCTGCCAAGGGGCAGGCTGAGCAGGAATGATAATAGCACCTTTCACCCAGTGAGCAAGCTCAGCACTACTGAGCGTGTCTTCTCTGCAACAGACTTGCCAGCCGGCCAGAAGAGCCAGACATGACCTTGGCTGAGGCACGCCCCCCTTGCCTCTGGCTGACCCAGGCCCCTGGACAACCTGATTGTCACCAACCTGCCGGACAGGATCCCCAGAACCAAGAGGATGAGTGCTGCAGCCCTGAGCAGGGAAGGCTGTAGGAGAGAGGCCACCCAGCTCTGGACAGGGGCCTCAGGGCCTCCTATCACCCCCAGCCCTGGGGACACCCACACGCCATGGCAGCCGCAACTGCCCAGGCTGTGGTTTCATAGTTTCAGGCCATGGCCATGGTTTCAAGAGGGCACAGGAAGCCTGAGGATCTGAGAAGCTCCTGCTCTTCCCAGAGGGTGTGAGCCCAGAACTGAAGAAGAGGACGGAGCCTGCTCTGGTGAGGGCTGTACTCTGTGCTTAGGCCCAACTCACTGACAATTTGAGGACCACTCATCATTTCTGCCTATCGATACACATGGCTTATCATAAGAGTCCCACAGAGTTGCAGGCTTGTGCCAGAGGGACAGGGCAGGTGAACTTGTCAAATAATTCCTTTATGGGGAAAAGCCCTGCACTACCATCAAGCTCCCACTGAGAAGAAAAAACTACTCCCTAAGGAGAGGGTTAAAGTTCGGCTGTTCTCTAAGTCAAAGGTTTAAAGCATTCTGAGAGCTGCAAGAGAAGATTTCAGAACTGACTTTGACTGGTGACCAGGTGAGATGTCTCTGGAGACCATCTGTCCTCGACAGCAGCTACTCCTGGCGTGGCTGCTCTGGCACCAACCCACTGGCATGGGGGTCTCCAGTGCCAGGCCCCATTGTCCTTGTGCATGAGTAGGGGGAATGAGGGGGGAAGGGAGTGTTGGTAAGAGAGAAAGAGAAAGAAAGATATCATGTGTTTGGGGCCACAACTTCATCCTGAATGGAGAGGTCCTTGCTATGACCCCCACACTTTGGAAGCTTTAGCAGGAGGTGATGTTAAAGGGGTGCCTCCCCAGCACTCCTCTTCACAGGGCAGTCAGGAAACCTGATACTACATTATAAGAATGAAAAAGAAAAGGAGAGGAACAATAGGACTGCTGGGGGCTGGGGCTTACCCAAAGTGCCTTCTGTAGGAATGTAGCAGAAAGTGAGAAAGGTTTATTTTGAAAAAGCACACAGACGTACGTATTGGATGTACTTCTGCATGACCTCCTCCAGGGGCCGTAGACCCTCCTTGAGGAAGATGGACGGGTTCCACATTGCCCCTCGGGCCACCATCACTGAAGAGGCTGCTGTGGCTTGTCGAAAATCCTCTATGTCCACATACTCGTGGATGTGGTCGTGAGATCCTCCACTGAAAGGCAACAGGGAAGTAAGGGTGTCCTCATTCTCATATCACCACTTCCAAAAAAGATAACTTCCAGGTCTATCACTCATTAAATGTATGGCTTTGACCAAGTCTTGCAGCTACAATCGCTTCAGGAGATTGGAGATTGTAATACACAGCCCACTATGGGGTCAGGAACAACGAGGGAGGGAATACAACAAAGCAGCCTGAACCGAGCCTGGCACTTAGTAGGTGTCCCAGAGGTTTTACCTTCCTTTCCCCTCATCCTAAACAGTGGCTAAAGCCAGTCCCCATCTGAAGACATGGGTCTGTAGGTGGACACTGGGATCACAGGAAAGCCTGCATACAGGCCAGGGCACCCATATGCCCCATTGTGGGCTGGGTCAGAAACCACAGACAGTGGCGATTGTGAGGGGAAGGAAGGAGGCCCAGCTTGGTTGCGATTTCCCTTCCTGCCACCCTGCAGCCACAAGAGCCCCCTTGGAAGCTGCTGTTTCTTCAGCTGTTCCATTAGGAACCAGGCGGAGCCTCAGTCCAATCGGTGGAGGGTCATGCGGCAATGATGACACCCTCGGGTGGCAGCAACAGCAATAGGATCCAGGATCCGAGTAGCCCTAACCTCTCCAAGCCACATCAACACTCCTTGGCCTAGGGAGGCCAGGCCAGCTGCCACTCCCACCCTGAGCTCCCTCCCTCCCACTGTCAGGCATGCCTTTCATCAGGACTTCAGAGCTCTGGAACTTCCCTGTTCCATCCTGCCTTCAGGCTCTGTCATGCTAAGGTGCAAGGCTGAGCTGCACTCCCAGCTGGCCCACAGCAGCCAGCACTCCAGCGGCAGCTGGACACTGGCTTACTGCTAAGCCTTTGGGCTGTCATCAGTACCTCACACCTATCCGCCTAGGTTCCTGGTCCTGTAGCGGCCAGAATGTTTGCCTCGTCTTTGGACTGTAACCTGCCTTACGCCCCCTGAGTCATAGCTCTACGTGCCCTGGCTTGGACTCCTCCCCTTATACCCTGCACACCAACCCTGGGTGTGACACCACGTTCTCCTGGGCCTGCTTCAACAGCCAAAATCTTGCTCTCCCTATCCCCTGCACATTCCTACCCCCAACCTGCCTACCGAACGCCCTGAGCCCCTGCCTGGTACCCACATACATCAGCCACTCACCAGAGGCCAACGGACATTTTCAGCCTTATTCCCAACCTCATGTTTTGTCCCAGCCTTTTTCTCTTTCCCTTAGAGTTATTTTTTTAATGCTACCTCATTTCATTTTTGTATGCCAGCCCAATTCCCTTCTGAGAAAGGTGAGGCATAAAAAAATAAATGAGGAGGAAGGGAGGCTTACTTGGCTATGACAGGAATGGACAGGGTTTCAGCAATGGCTTTGATGGCTTCACAGCTGACAGGGTGCTGGGGTCGTTCCTCCCGCTTCCTTGGAGATAAAGAAAAAAACGATGGGCCTGAAGGCTGAGTGCCAAGGGCCATGTCATAGTTTGCACAGGGTTACCTTGTCCAAACCCTACTGCCCTCTCTACTGAATCTCATGCAGGTCATGTAGCCAGGAAGGACGGGGTCTCAGTTACAGGGGATGGCTCTCCATTACCTGTGCTGTGAGAAGGCAAGTCCAGCTTTTAGAAGCTGGCAAGGGAGGCATGGCTGCACAGGGCTGTTGTGGGCGGCCTAGCCCCAAGGTCATACCACCTTTCCTTGGTTTCCCTTCACCTCTGCTAGAGATGAGGGACAGTGCTATAGGAATGCTACCCCTACTGTTCCAGTCTCACCCTCCTGGCCCAAGGGGCTGGGAACAGCTGCCGCCTCTAAGGCTAACCACTCCCACACAGCTGCCTGTGCTGAACCCCAGTTGGGCAGCTGATCCTGGGGAGAGGTACCTGGCACAGGGTACACCCAGTGGTCAGGGCAGGCCACAGACCATGGCTCTGTCACAGTGAGCCACAGGGGAGGCAGGACCACAACTTTGGGCCCCTCCTTCCAAGGTCAACGGCAAGAAACTCTTGTGTATGAGTAAGTCAGGCTCAGAGATGCTGAGGTGGGCCCTGACATGAACTGTGATCGGGAACAAGCAAGAATGGTGGTCGGTTAGATAGCCCTTGCCCAGGTCTTCCCTAGGTATGTCCCCTCTGTTACACTCCTCAACAAAAAGCTCAGAGGCAACAGGGCCTGAGAAGACCCTGTCAACCAAGCCTCCACCTCCACCTCCCTATACCCCCAGCAGCCAGTTCGAGCCCACCCTCAACAGCTTTGATGGCCAGAAAGTTCCTTCTTAAACTCGCCTGATTCTGTCTTCCTACTGCTTCCAACTACTGGTTAAAAAGCATAAAGCTGTATTATCCAGAGAAGACTCTATGCCAGGCACTGTGCCAAGGCTGTGTATTCACATCTCAGAAAAGCCTCATAACAACCTTGTAAAACAGAAATTATCTTAATTTCTAAATGAGGAATGTGGTACTCAAAGAGGTTAAGTAATTTGTCCAAGGATACAGAGCCAAAAACCAGCAGAGCTGGGATTTGAAACCACGCAGTCTGAGCCTAGACCCTGCAGCCATGGGAAGGAGCACATGTGAATGTGTGCGTGGCCTTTCACCTCCCCCTACTGGTTTCTGCCTGCACAGCTCTACTTTTCTCTTTTTGACATGCTGCAACTGTGGGCCCCCTTCTTGGAAAATACTGAAATATACACAACCAGAAAAAAAATAGACTGTTGCTACAAGACTCTTGAACCCAAAAGGAAGATCAATAAGAGAAGAGACGTCAGTCTGGCCAAAGTCCACTGATCTGGGATTCTGTACAAAAGTATATCTTGTACAGGGAGCAGGTCTGACTGGGAAACCAATGGCAGTCGTCAGAAATACTTCAGCTCTCAGCAGACAGCACATTAGCTACAGATACAAGCACTGTTTAAAGCAGTCATTGTGACAACTGGCAGTCCAACAAAGGCTGACAAAAAAGGCATTGGCTTTAAAAGAGCAGCAACTGCCTGTGGTCCTTCAAGGGAGAAACTATTGTTCAATGAAGTGCAAAGAAAATGAGATTCAGAGTTAAGAGTTCTAATTACACCACTTCCTGGCTGCATGATACAATTTTAAGCAAATTACTCAACCTCTACCATTTATATATTCTGAAGGTAGGGGCATTTCTCCTTCCTCTTGGTCTTTCTGTGTCTCTAAAGCTCAGTGCAGTATCTACCACCAGTAGGAGCTCAATGAATGAAACAAAGAAAAATACAAGCCCATAAAGGGTTTGACTGCCTTCAGGACTTAGAGGACATCAAAGAGAGCTAGGCAACTAGACTGCAAATGTAGAAGAGAAGTTGGTTGTCACTGGGGGTCTGGTGAAGGATCATTAAGATGGCTGAGGACATCCTTACAAGTCAGTCACTACAAAGGCGACCACTGACCTCCCATGAACTGCGATGGCGGCAATGCCAGTCCTCTCTATCCGCTTCACAAGGCTCAGGGTATCTTCCATCTGACAAAGAGGACCACAAAGAGTAGTTACTGAAGTCACCAAGCGAGCAGCTGCCAGCTCCTAAAGAGGACTTGGCTCCAACTGCTCCTCCAAACCTAATTCAGCTACTCAAGAATCATTCACACCCCCAAATCAACATCCCCAGAGAAAATGGACCTTCAAATGAAACACATCAGCCTTACCGATGGCAGGATGCGAATCTTGCAGGTCACAGGTCTGCGTGTCCCTTTAACAAGAGTGCTGAGGATCTGCAGAGAGAACACAAGAGCACCTGCTCCTTTTGGAACAACTGCAACTGCTCATACTTACTAACTCTGCTGCAGATCTGTCCATCACAGTGGCATGGACATGTCTATGTCCATGTATGTGTCCATGAGGCCAAGAAATCCACCTTTTTTTCTACACTAGAGCCCTAGCACCAGTAGTCCCTAGTCTGGCACACAGTGGTGTACCAAGATTTGGTAAGAGAATGATTATGGATCTGCATGTATGCCTATGCAGAACACAGTGCCCTTTGGCCAGGGCAAACATCTGAATCTCCTAGCAAGCTTAAGAAATACAAAATCTTAGATTCTCCCCCATATTTCCTGTAACGGTCTCTAGGGGCAGGGCTTAGAAATATGTGTTTTCAAAAGGCTCTGTAATTACCTGAATTTTAAAAAGTAGCTCTTTATTACTTAGCCATACAAAAAAAAAAAAAGAGGAAATCCTACCGTTTGTGACAACATAGATGGGCCTTGAAGGCATTATGCTAAGTGAAATAAGTCAGACAGAGAAAGACAAATACTGTTATGATCTCACTTGCACATGGAATCTGGTAAAATACAAAAACAAATGAAACCCCACCATAAACTCACAATTAATGAAACTAGAAAAAAAAGAACAAATGAGGCTCCAAGTCAGTGGAAGGAGAGAAATAATAAAGATTGAGCAGAAATAAATAAAATCGAGAAGAATAAACCAATAGAAAGAATCAATGAAAGCAGGAGCTGGTTCTTCGAGAAAATAAACAAAATAGATAAACCCCTAGCCAGACTTATCAAGAAAAAAAGAGAGTCTACACACATAAACAGAATCAGAACTGAGAAAGGGAAAAATCACTACCAACACCACAGAAATACAAAGAATTGTGACAGAATACTATGAAAAAGTATATGCTAACAAACTGGATAACCTAGAAAAAATGAACAACTTTCTAGAAAAATACAACCTTCCCAGGCTGACCCAGGGAGAAATTGAAAATCTGAATAGACCAATTACCAGCAAGGAAATTGAATTGGTAATCAAAAAACTACCTAACAAAACCCTTGGATCAAATGGTTTCACTGCTGAATTTTATTAAACATTTAGTGAAGACCTAATACCCATCCTCCTTAAAGTTTTCCAAAAACTAGAAGAGGAGGGAATACTCCCAAACTCATTCTATGAGGCCAGCATCGCTCTAATACCAAAAGCAGGCAAAGACACCACAAAAAAAGAAAATTACAGACCAATATCCCTGATGAACAAAGATGCAAAAATACTCAACAGAATATTAGCAAACCAAATTCAAAAATACATAAAAAATATCAAACACCATGATGAAGTAGGATTTATTCCACAGATGCCAGAATGTTACAATATTAGAAAATCCATCAACATCATCCACCACATCAACAAAAAAAAGGACAAAAACCACATGATCACCTCCATAGATGCCAAAAAAGCATTTGACAAAATTCCACATCCATTCATGATAAAAACTCTCAACAAAATGGGTATAGAAGGCAAGTACCTCAACATAATAAAGGCCATATATGACAAACCCACAGCCAACATCATACTTAACAGCAAGAAGCTGAAAGCCTTTCTTTAGGATTGGGAACAAGACAAGGATGCCCACCCTCTCCACTTTTATTCAACATAGTTCTGGAGGTCGTCACCATGGCAATTAGACAACACAAAAATATAAAGGACATCCAGATTTGTAAGGAAGAAGTTAAACTGTAACTGTTTGTAGATGACATGATATTGTACATAAAAAACTCTAAAGAATGCACTCCAAAACTACTTGATCTAATATCTGAATTCAGCAAAGTTGCAGAATGCAAAGTTAATACACAGAAATCTGTTGCATTCCTATACACTAATGATGAACTAGCAGAGAGAGAAATCAGGAAAACAATTCTATTCACAATTGCATCAAAAAGAATAAAATACCTAGGAATAAACCTAACCAAGGAAGTGAAAGACATATTCTCTGAAAACTACAAGACTCATGAGAGAAATTAAAGAAGATACCAATAAATGGGAACACATCCCGTGCTCATGGATAGAAAGAATTAATATTGTTAAAATGGCCATCCTGCCTAAAGCAATCTATAGATTCAATGCAATTCCTATCAAAATACCAATAGCATTCTTCAACAAACTAGAGAAAATCATTCTAAAATTCATATGGAACCACAAAAGACCCCAAATAGCCAAAGCAATCCTGAGAAGGAAGAATAAAGCTGGGGGGATTACACTCCCCAACTTCAAGCTCTACTACAAAGCCACAGTAATCAAGACAATTTGGTACTGGTGCAAGAACAGAACAATAGACCAATGGAACAGACTAGAGGGCCCTGATATAAACCCAACTATATATGGTCAATAAATATATGATAAAGGAGCAATGGACATACAACAGGGAAATGACAGCCTCTTCAACAACTGATGTTGGCAAAACTGGACAGCTACATGCAAGAGAATCAAACTATATTATTGTTTAACCCCACACACAAAAGTAAACTTGAAACGGATCAAAGACCTGAATATACGTCATGAAACCATAAAACTCTTAGAAGACAACATAGGAAAAATCTCCTGTATATAAACATGAGCAACTTCTTCCTGAATGCATCTCCTCAAGCAAGGAAAACAAAAGCAAAAATGAACACATGGGACTATATCAAAGTAAAAACCTTCTGTATGGCAAAGGACACCATCAACAGAACAAAAAGGCATCCTAAAGTATGGGAGAATATATTTGTAAACAACATATCCGACAAGGGGTTAACATCCAAAATATATAAAGAACTCACAAGCCTCAACACCCAAAAAGCAAATAACCCAATTAAAAAATGGGCAGAGAATATGAGAGACAATTCTCCAAAGAAGACATTCAGATGGCCAACAGACACATGAAAAGATGCTCCACATCACTAATCATCAGGGAAATGCAAATTAAAACCACAATGAGATTTCACCTCACACCAGTTAGAATGGCCTGCATTGAGAAGACTAAGAACAACAAATGCTGGTGAGGATGCAGAGAAAGAGGAACCCTCCTACACTGCGAGTGGGAATGTAAACTAGTTCACCCATTTTTTTAGAGCAATATGGAGGTTCCTCAAAAAATTAAAAATAGAAATACCATTTGACCAGGGAATCCCACTCCTAGGAATTTACCCAAAGAATACAAGCTCTCAGATTCAAAAAGACATATGCACCCCTATGTTTATCGCAGCACTACTTACAATAGCCAAGATACGGAAGCAACCTAAGTGTCCATCAATAGATGAATGGATAAAGAAGATGTGATACATATACACAATGGAATACTATTCAGCCATGAGAAAGAAACAAATCTTACCATTTGCAACAACATGGATGGAGCTGGAGGATACTACACCCAGTGAAATAAGCCAGGCAGAGAAAGACAAGTGCCAATGATTTCCCTTATTCGTGGAGTATAACAACAAAGCAAAACTAAAGGAACAAAACAGCAGCAGACTTATAGACTCCAAGAAGGGATTAGCAGTTACCAAAGGAGAAGGGTGGGGGAGGGTGGGTGGGAAGAATGGAGAAGGAGATTGAGGGGTATTATGTTTAGTACACACGGTGTGGGGGGGTCACGGGGAAGACAGTGTAGCACAGAGAAGACAAGTAGTGACTCTGTGGCATCTTACTACACTGTGGACACTGACTTCTATGGGGCATGGGGGGACTTGATAACATGGGTGAAAGTAGTAACCACTATTATGTTTCATGTGAAACATTCATAAGAGTATATATCAATAATACCTTAATAAAAGAAAAAAGAACACTTAGCAGTTCAAAAAAAAACCAAACAGATTTGTGGCTATCAGGGGTGGGGCAGGTGGGTGATGGAGCGGTAGAGCAGAGGGAATTGGAGGAATATAGTCAAAAGAGTCAACCTTCCAGTTACAAGATACAGAAGTACCAGGGAGGCGATGTACACCATGACTACAGCTCACACTGCTGTATGGTATAGGATAGTTGTTAAGTAGATTTTAAGAGTTCTCATCACAAACATAAATCTTTCTCTTTTTCTTTTATCTATATGAGATTATGGATATTAGCTAAACCTCTTGTGGTAATCCTTTCACATTATTTGTAAGCCAAACCATCATGCTATAAACCTTAAACTTACACAGGGGTATTTGTCAATTATTTCTCAATAAAACTGGAAACAATTTTTTTTAATATTTGAAAAAGGGTCTGCCCAACACATTCCCTCCTCACTATGATTCTGAGGCCTAGTGCTGACTGAGACCACAGGCTGACAGCTTCTTTCCCATTTGAAGGCAATGTTCCCCGAGTGCTGTTCCAGGATCTGCTGAGTGAGAGCAGGAAGGCTTTACAGACCCCAGGCCCCATCCTCAGGCACTACTCTCTTCAGAGGGATCAGCTGTATAGAAGGGAAGCTGGCAAAGGACATTTCAACATATTAAACATATTAAAAGGTGTTTAGTTGCATAGTAATTGCAAAGGACTTCAAAAAAAGATAAAGAAATTAAACAGGAAAATGCCAGGGAGGTGGCAAGACCAGACTACTCAAGAATCAAATCAAGAGAGGTGCAGATAACACTGAATGACCATGACATTGTTCTTTTCTTCCCTCATCAAAAATTTCAGGCCAGGCAAGCTGGACGAAAGGTGATCCCAAGAGCCTTCATCCAAGAACTGGATCACCAGCAGCTCTGAGAGGACACACAGGCAACTGCCGCCAGTCTTGGTTCTACATAGGAGGGGGCAGCAGACAGCCAAGTTCACGAACCAATGGAAGGGCCTTTCTCTCAGGGACAGGTTGAGGCAGGCTCCTCCAAAGACATCAGACCAAGAGGCAGGGCTGACAGGCAAGAGGACAGATCATGGGCAAGACAGGGCCTGCTGGCCCAGGCACAGCTGCCAGGGACTGGCAGGAAGGAACAGTCCCCACGTGCTACCCCAGGAGGTAGACTGGGACTGAGGTCCTAGGGTCACTCTGGCAGGCCTTAAAGGGGCACCTACCCTTTAAGGGGGTGGGAGGCACTGCCAGATCCACTGAGATACACAGTGAAAATTCACACTCCACTCCTATCCCTCAGGATGGCAGTACCATCTCTGGAAGGTTCCCTTGGCAAATGCTGACTTAGAATCCTCTATTTGGTGATTATAGCAACATCAGCTGGTTTGATCCAGTTCTCCGTTTTGCACAACTTCCTTTTGGTGTATTTCACCCAAGTACATCTAGGCACTTTCTTCAGGATTTCTGTTCATCTCGTGTGTGTTCAAAATGAGGAAGGAAATAAGTAACCAAAAGTCCTAGCACTTGCAAGAGTCACAATGAGGGGAAAGAACAAGTAGGGTCTCCCATATGGCAAGGCTCCAGCAAGAAACTCTCTGGAACCAACTCTCCCCAGCTCCAAGCCACACCACATATCTCTGTGGTGTGAAAGTCGGTAGGGGAAAGGACCTAAAGACAGGCCCGTACCTGAGCAGGTCACAGCACATCTGCCCACGGGTAGGCTCATCGCCTCAGACCCACTGGCTGACTCTGGAAAAGCAGACCCTTAGCTCCCCTGGTTACTGGGGAGGGGTTGGGAAGGCAGATGAGAGAGCACAGGCTTAGGAATCGGTGAGTTCATGCAGGCCTGGCCCCACCAACTGTTAGCCAAGGCACAAGTACAGCGAGTGCAAGGGATGCCCTGGGCTGCCAGTGGTCGGGGCAGGAAATCCTGGGCAGGGATGAGAGAGAGGATATTACTGAATTCGAGTCTTAACCCAGACAGGGTACACCAAAGTTAACCAGGAAGCTTTTTCAAAGGATTGATACCGCTCTCTGACCCTACTCACTTCAAGAGTATACAGAATTCTCAATGGATAGCATCTTTTGTTTATATTTGGTAAAATATAAACATAAAATTTTCCATTTTAACCGTTTCTAAGTGTATAATTCAGTGGTATTAAATACATTCACAGTGTTGTGCAATCATTACTGCTTTCTATTTCCGAAATTCTACATCACCTGAAACAAGCATACTTATTTCAAAAAAATCCTGCAGATGGTCCTAAGATGTTCCCACAGATAAAACCATGGACCTAAAACACTCAACCTGGAAGAACCCACAAAACTCTCACCCATGTCACCTAGTTGGCAGCAAAGTTTGAACCTGAATCTAATCCAGCCCACTACTCCTGAATTCTACCTGCTTTGTTGTGAAGCCTGCAACCTCCCCCACATGAGGCAAACCCCACCCACTAGTCCAACCTGGCCCTCCCACAGCCCCACCAAACAGAGGAGCGCCGTGAACTGAGCTTCCCAGCGGCAGTAAAACCTGCTACCTCACATACAAACTGTGCCTCACCCAAAGAGGAGCAGTGGAGGAGGACAGAGCCAACAGCATGCGTGGGAGAAGCCAGGAGGCCCGAGGCTAACAGTGCCTGTGTGTGCGTGCTGTGAAACAAACCACCCCTAGATGGACCCCTTTCCCTAAGTGTGGTGATGAGTTTGACATCCAGAGTTGTCCACATCCACTCCATGCTGCACAGAGATGTCTGACTGGAGGTCCCCAGGCCCAGGTGTCTGCTGACCTGTGGCTAGACACTTATAAATGTCACCCAGGTACCTTCCACCTGAGATGCCATCAAGAGGGGCACTGATAGGGGAGTAGGGGGTCACAAGACTATGGCTGTGGATTTAGCACTGCCGGCTACTTATCTGCTATATGATCTTGAGCAAATTATTTTTATCTCTCTGTGCTTTCATTTTATTAGTCTTGATCAAATAGAGATAACAAATACCTGCCCTGTCTACATCTATTTGGGGAACAAATGGAATAAATGCTAGAATAAACTTTGAAAAAGGAATTACCCTACAAATGGTAAGAGCACTTTATAGGCACATTATAGATATAATCTTTATATGTATCTGCACATGGGAAAAATGAGAAGGCACCTAGCCAATAGACATACTCTAATATCCCAGAGATGGGGGCTGGAGGAGTATCCAGGGTTGAGGGGCTGACCCAGCAGCCAGGACAAACCTTGGCAGCTCTTACTGGTGGTGCCTTATCCCAGGCAGCTCTAGTCCACGGGAGGCACTAGGAGGCTTAAAGCCAGGCGGGGAAGAGGCGAAGGAGAATGAAAAGGAAAACAAGGAACTAAGAGGAGAACCAAGGAGAAAGCTGGCAGACTGAGAAAGAAAGTAAAAGGTATATTATAGGGTGGCAGAAATTGTCATCCCCACATGCCCTGGCAGCTCACAATACTGGGTGGCAAACACCAACATGGGACCTCATAAACCTGGTCTGCACAGTCACCACTGGAAGAGGACCAGAGGAGACTAATTTCAGCTGGCTTCTTATGGTGCTGGCCTGGACTGCTCGCAAAGGCTGGTGGTGGACCCTGTTCAGTGTGCAGCGGACTCACTGCTGCCCCCTGGGAGGGGCCGATCCCCACCCCCATAGCCACTGAGCCCCTATGCTATCCACAGGAGGCCTGGCCAATGTCTCATAATCGTCTCAGAAGAGACAGAGGAGGCTCTAAATGAGTCCTCAGACACCCCAGCTCTAGCTGACATGTCCCTAGCCCTGGGCTTTTGAGGAACCCAAGGCTCCTGTACACTGGCTCAGGGGTTCCCAAACCTGGTTGTATGTCAAAATCACTGGGAAGCCTTTAAAACTTTTCCCAGACCCCAGGAGGAATGATTGATTCATTCTGGTTGATTCCAAATCTGGAGGACAGGAGGGCAGGGAGAGGCATTCTAGGCAACTCTAGCCCATAGGCATGTTTAAGAATCTCTGCTTTCACTCACGTAGGACTTACCTTCTCAATCTTGTCAGGGTCTGACAGCAAAGCAGCTCCCATTCCTCCCTAAGGAAAAGCACACAGAGGGTCTCCTTGCAGATGGAGGAGGGTGGTCCCTCCCTGGGGTATGGCAACATGATGTGGCCACCTGGCACCACCCCAGCACTTGTCACCAAAGGACCAAAATCCACTGGCAATCGGCACTTCTTAGCAAGCAGGAAAGCAGCAGCATGCATGTCCACACTATCAGGATCGGACTTTGATGAATTCTAAAGTCATCACTCTGATTCTATTAGCAAAACCCATGGATCTATCTAGAAGTGGGTTCTACAAAAATTGTTGTTCAGGATTGCCCACTGCCTGCCCAGTCTCAGTGTCTTCATGAACTAAACCCCACAATCTGCCACTCTCCCTTTGAAATGGGATCCAGTACATCTTATTCCTACTCTTCCAACACTTGTTTTGGTACCACTATTGCCAGCAAAGCCACTCAGAGGCACACAACCTACAAATCTTGTCCAGGCCCCTCTCTCCTGCCAGCAACAACACCCCAGTCCCGAGCACCCAGGCCAATGTGAAACTCCAAGAAAAGCCCCAGCTAATAAAAGCCAACAACCTGTGGAGCCACTTATATTCTTGACATGAACAATGGTTGTCTCTTGCGATTATTGGTGATTGCAATTTTCGTATACTTTTCTGTATCACCCAAGTTCTGGACAATGGTATGAATTACTTTAGTAACCAGGAGGGGGAGGATCTTTACAAATATGAACCCATTAAGAGTGAGATAAAGGGGAAAAAACAAATCCATTAAATATACTCTTCCAGTATAAAGACTGCATACCAATGAGTACTCACATAATTGGCTCAGGTTTAAGTTCAGTTATTCTAGTTGAATTGTTTGCTGAAGGGTGACAGATTCTAATCAGAAAGAACATTGAACCACCACAGACTTGGCCAGCCTGAGCCTGCATTTCAGAGAAGAATGGGAAGGCCAGAGGAGCCATTAGCCCTGGCCTACTTGGCCACAGCTACAAACCTCAGCGGCCTTAAGGAAACCCTGGCCACTCACCCTGGCTCTGTCCATCTGTCCTTCACCTCACACACAACCCAGCCCTTCCTTGTGGCATCACAGGACCTAACATCCAGCCTCACTGCCCCTTCCACAACAATGGCTTTCTCAATTGGTATTTCCTTTCTTCCTTCCTTCCTTTCTATTTAATGTATTTGCTTTGAATAGGTAACATTAAAAGTTTTAAAGGTTCAAAAGGGTAAAAAGTAAGAACTCTTTCTCCATGTGAAATGGAAAACTTTTCAATTTATACTTTTTATACGGCTTCAATTTTTGAACCATGAGGAGAGAGAGGATATTCAGGTGGTACATACTGGTAGAGACCTGCCAGTGCTGTGCCAGTTATTTTGAGTAGTGCCCCTGCAATGAGAATTTATCCCCACACAAAACCAAATAAAAACTTAATTTCCTTCTCAGAAGAAACCAGTGTTACTAGTTTCTTGTGGGTCTTTCCAAGGATATTCTAAGAAAAGTAAATATACATGTAAATTCATTCCCCACCCCTCATATATAAATGGTGATACACCACATACAATTCTGCTCCTTGCTTTCTTCACTCCACATGCATCTGGGAGATTATTCCAGTAATTTCAACTCTGCTCCTTATATTACTCAAGAGCACAGAGGACTAATTAGAAGACAGCAAGACAGAGTCCAAAGTTTCCAACTCCTCTCCTCACAGATAATTTCAAACCTCCCTGATTCTTTGAAGCAGCTCTCTAAGGCCCTCTGGTTTGCAGGCATCCAGAGGGCCTTTCCCTCGGGGAGTTGTCAGACTCCTGGCCTAAAGCAAAAGTCTCCAGGGTGCGTAACTCCTGGGAGCAGAGTGGCTGACTCTGCGTAGTGGGCCAGGGGGACATGTGCAATGTCTATACCGCAGGCCCGGACCTCACACCCTGTGATAAGGTTCCCAGGCGCAGCCCTGGAGGAGTCCCTCTGGTGCCGCACATGCAGCCAACCCCAAGCTGTCCTTGTTAACGGCTCCAAACACACTTTTCCTCTAGCAGTCCTGATCCTGCTGAAGACAAACAGCCCTCTTGTCTGCCAATCGTTCCTCCCTCTGCCCCCACACTCACTCCCCCTCCACACACACACACACACCTAGTCCAACCATTTGCCAGCCAAGTCCTGTCAAATTCAGCTCCAGGTTGGCTTTTCCTCTCTCCACCCCTGGTCTCCTGTGGACCCAGGACACTCATCTCCTATTTCTGCATCCCCACCACCAGCCTATTGCCATTCAAATCCACCTGACACATGGCTTCCAGATTAGGATTTCTAAGTATTTGTATTCATAGAATGTATTTAGAAAGACATGCAAGAAACTAGAAATACTGATTTCCCCTGAGGAAATTTCTGATCACATGCCTTCTCTGTTCAAAAAAGACCCCTTATCTAAAGTCCAAGTTTAGCTAATCAGGTTCCAACCAAAATTTTCAAGCCTGTTCCTGTGCTTCCTCTTCGTCCCACTCTCCACCCCTACAGTCAAATCAAGGTTCTCTGCCTCTGCCTCACACTGGGCTCCGGACCCTGCCTGTGTCAGTCCCTGTGCCTGCAGGGTCTTTGGTGAGGAGGCTGGAACTTACTCAGGGAGTGAGTCCATTTCCCTCCAAGAATCTGAGTTTAAGTGCTGCTTTTCTGCTCCGTTCTCTGAGCCACCCTAGCACTCAGGTCTGATCTGATCTTCTGATATGACAATAGGGACATATGTATTGCATCTTTTTTTTTTTAACTGTATATCTCAGGCTGCATCAAAAAGACAGAGCCCTGTTCACATTATGTTTTCTTGTTTTCTTTGAACATTTACATCACTTGTTTTATTACTTGGGCACAAGTGCTCTGTGTTTATGTGTGTATATATATGTATATATGTATGTGTATGTGTGTAAAATTTTTCCTGAACCATTTGCAGATAAGCCACATGTATCACAGCCCCTTTCCCCTAAATATATCAGTGTGTATTTTCTAAGAATGGGGATATTCTTCCTAAACTACAGAAGAGTTATCACCTTCACAAACTTACACTGATAGAGTATTTTTAGCTAATCTACCAAGGTCCATATTCCATTTTGCCAACTGATCCAATGATATCCTTTTAAGCAGCTTCCTCATCTAGTACAGGGATCTAGTCCAGACTCAGGTATATACTTGTGTTGTTACATCTTGTTAGTCTCCTTTAACCTACACCCTACATTTGTAAAGAGTATGAAGAAGTCAGTTTACCTTGGTGGAATACTCTTTTGGACAGCCCATGTTGACATCGATACCAGCCACATCATTTTCTCTGGAAAAACATGAAGTAGAAATGGTACTAAATATTCAGCTTGAGAAAAGAAAATAGTCAAAGGCATGGGTCTGTGCTCACGAACCTCTTACCATGTCCCTGGCCTTATGAAACACACCAAGTCTCAGTGACAAAAGTTGAAAAAACCTGTGTGTAAATGTACAACTGCCTCCCCTGAACAGAGCTCAAGAGCAAGGGCACAGTGTGCTCATATACCTACAAAGGGCTAGTTGTAGAGGACTTTGCTACTTCGCAATTCTACCAGATAACCCAAACTACTGAGTAACAACCACACTGAACTTGATCTCAGAGTGCCAGTTCTGACTGGGTTAGTGAAAGCTATTTGTCAATGCACAAAAGCGACATGAGTACAAGAGCCCCTTCCCAGAGCAGTGGTTCTAGTGAAAGTTACAGGACTGCCTTTGTTTGTGGGGCTGCACAATTGACTTACTTCGAACATACCTCATCTTCTGGTATATACACAGTCAACGGTCTATGATTAGCAGCAACAACTGCCTGAGTTCCTTCTCACCCTTACTGTAATCAGTAACAATAGCTAACACTTACTGAGCATCCACTACATGCCTCATATCGCAAAGAAATTTACATGCATTCTTTCATTTACCCTTTCCTATACTGCCAGAGTAAGTATATGTTGGTCTCATGTTGTATATGAGGAGGCAAAGTTCTCAGCAAGGCTAAGTAACTTACCTAAGGTCACATAATTAGCAATTGGCAAGGCCAGAATTCCAACCCAGGTCTGTCTAGCTCCATGACTCCAAAGCCCATC